GGTTAGTACTAATTGTTATTGCATTATCGTCCGCAAACATAGTACATTTGAATTTAGTTACATTTAGAATGTCATTTATATATAAAATAAAAAACAACTGTAACTGTAACACTGAATATTAAATTAAATTTTCGGCTAGAGGCTGTGTAAGAATATCCATTATCCCACATCGTCCTGTGTGTATCGTAAGAAGCCACAGAGGGTAAAACAGGAGATAGGTTGCTAACACGATTGCCGAGCGCGGCAACTATGGCAAATATTTACCCTATGAGGCAACCAAGTTCAGCAGGGGACTCTTGAGAGGCTGTAACGGTAAATATATGAAAGAAAAATAAATTGGCCTATTTTTATCAGTCTTAAAATCTAATGCTATACCTGGTTGGACCGTGTGGTTGCAATGTAAGAATATCCACTACCCCGTATCATCCCGTGGGTGTCGCAAGAGGCGACAGAGAGAAACAAATCAGGAGATGGGCTGTAGAGTCTTCCTAATAACAACTAAAAATAAAAAACTGCGGTTGCCAATCTGCTCACCAAGCGTGGCAACTATGGCAAATACCCTATGTTCAGCAATAGACCTTAATAGGCTGCTGGCCATCTCCTGATTTGTTTCCCTCTGTTGCCTCTTACGACACCCACGGGATGATTTGGGGTAATGGGTGTTCTTTCACCGCCACTACAAGGTAAAGGCTAAAAGATTACTAAGATATAAAAAGAACATTAATCTCTATTTTTAAGCTCTAAAAGAGAACAGTCTGAACGTAACGCGATCTTTACAAACAACATCGAACATGGTGCAGGGCTATCGCGAACAAAATGCAACGGTTTGGAATTAATTGCGCACTCGCGGGCCGACGGCGATACCACTGGTCTATCGATCATCGGGCGTGTGCCGCAGTGTGCGCGCCTCTGCACGCCGAACTGAACAATATCCGCATTCTTGTTATTGGTTTAATAGAAAAATTAAATCTATTGGCCTCGAACCTCGAAGCATTGTAAGAGCTAGTGCACACGGATTACAGTTTTTCAATTACGAGAATCTTGCTTCTCATGTTTATTTCAAATTACCTTTAGAAACTTTAGATCAGGGGTCACGGTATTTTACGTTTTAGTTTCGTAAAAATAATTTACATTAGTCTGTGGCTAAAGAATTTAATAAATAATTAAACATCGCAACCCAAAAACAACGCACGTAGCCCATTTATACTGTACTAGCGATCCGCTGCTTCGCATGGTTGATTTCTGGATCACATAAACAGCGACACCTACCGGGTCCAATTCTAAATCTAAACCAGACTCTAATAAACTTAATCACACCCACAAAATTTCATCAAAATCGGTCCAGCCGTTTAGGAAGAGCTCAGTCATATACACAAGGACAGACGAACTATATAATATATAATATGCATCATATAAACCTTTTACTTGAATTATTCTGTCTATTGGTGAAAATCACACCTAAATATATTACGTAGCTTACAAGATCTAAGCGTACAGACAACGGGAACCGAATTTGTTTTATACTATGTAGATATTAATACATGGTAGAGCCACACTGCAGCCATATTAGGTATGGTTTTAGATCGAATGAATGGGTCGGCTCGACCGGGATAGGATCATACTATTTTTTATGGTGCCCGGCGATTTAAGCGGCGTCCGTAAGATCAGGGCCGGATTAACCGTGTCAGGGCCCTTAGGCAATACAATTCTCGGGGCCCCTTTCCAGCCAGCGTGAAGGGATGTGTGTAATAGCATCAGCAGCATCACCATACTGATGCTTAACTCCTCAGAAATTTACAGTAAAAGATTTGTATTCGAACGTAGTGTGCGAGATTATTTATTTTCTTAATATGGGCCTGAAGACCATAGTAACTATCAGACATATTCGACGCGTTATCGTAAGTCTTGCCTCTCTTATTTTTTTTTCACTCGTAATTCGTAAGTTTTGAAACACAATTGTATACGTGATAGAGCCATGCTGCAGCTATATTAGTAGTATAGTTCTAGCAGGAATGAGTCGTTTCAACCGGGGAATGACCACGATCTCACAGAATACCAGCGTTAAATAGCAGCTTAATACTGCTGTGTTTCATATGGTGAGTGTAGAGAGCCGGAGACCCTTTTTACTGGAAACGAGGCATTCCTTCTTACTCCTCACGGGTGACAACGCATATTATGCATTTTGATTCTTTATCGAAGATAGATGTAGATGTCTATGGGTCTCAGCAACGACTTACCATCAGGTGGACTGTGTGCTTGTTTGTCACCCTATCCTATAAAAAAACATAGTACCGTGAAACTTTTTAAACTAAATTTACGGTCACTCACAAATCGCTACGTAATAATCATAGATAAATAAATATGTAGCAAGCTAGTAATAATGTGAATGAAGTTAAGTACTCACTGAGCTGATCGCTCACCGGCTGCGTGCCGAATTGTTAATGAAATTTAATACTTTAAGTATAAATATATCTAGCACTCTTATAACCAAATTAATACGTTTTGAAACAGAGCAGATTAAAACTTTTTAAATTAAATTCATTTACGATCGCAATACTCACAAAACGCAATTACAGATCATTTAAAAACTTTTGTATATTATACAATGCGCTACGTAACGCATTAATATTATTAGTTCTACTACTCGATACTACATGATTCTATTCTGTGAGTATGAAGTTAGTTAGTTAGGATAAGGGAAAATAATAAGAAACTTAGGATAGTAGGTATATTCTAAGTATAGTTAGTTGACAAAGTATGTTTCATCAACTGTCAACATGCGTCGCTAAAACGCAATAATACCTATTGCCATTGAGGATATAAATTTTCCAATTAAATTTTCACTGTATGACACATTTTCCATTACTTTTGTGCGCGCAAAGGGCCCCTAGCCGATGCGGGGCCCCTAGGCAGTTGCCTACTCTGCCTAATGGTTAATCCGGCCCTGTGTAAGATTGCAGTATGGCCATCTCGTTTGTACCAAAGGTAAAATACCGAATACGGGCAGCAGTGTCAAAGGCGTGAGACGTGTGATCGCCAATCCACCTGCCTGAAAAGCGTGGCTATAAGACAAAGATAATAAATGCATCTGCAATTCCCCTCGTGTTGCAGTTTATCATGGGCGGCTGTAGACACTTACCATCAGGTGAGCCGCATGGTCGTGTGCCCCCTTTTATATAATAAAATCCTTGCTACAACGAGAAAGGCATATGTTCGGCAGTGATTACTAAGTGGTAAACAGTGACATCATATTATGTAGCAGGTGCACTCACCGGACGTGTACAAGAACTTGGGACAGCGCGGGCAGCGCAGCGGTGCAGTCTGACGGGTAGCAGATGAACTCAACGCAAGCTTGCAAGAACAGTACGCGCGTTTTTTTTTATTGTTTTACTGCGTTACCACGTTAATTTCAAACAAAGTAAAAATAAAAAACCCATATATAATTTTTTTAACTTTAACCTATTTTGTTGAAAAAGGTATGACAAATTGTTGAAAAAGCGTAATAATTCTATGTGACAAACAGTGTACCCGTTTGTATAGTACAGTCCACCTGTGGGTAAATGGATTCTGTGACATTTAAACATTTATTGTATCTTTGAAGAAATTTATCATTTGTTTAAAGATACAATAAATGTCGGAGTAATGTTTAAATGTATTTAATACATGATTTATCAATATCACGACTGCGTCGGCTTCAGTTGTCAAAGTACCTGGTTTGGTCGTAGCGATTTTTTATATAAAAACGGTGATAAACAAGCATAAAGTCCACCTAATAATAAGTGGATGCAGTGGCCCATAGACATCTACATCTATTCTCGATCAAGAATAAAAATGTACCTAGATACGTTTTCACCCCTGAGGACTAAAATGGAATGCCTCGTTACCATTATTAAGGGTCTCCGGTTTTCTACACTCACTATACGACTCCACTTCGGCCGCAGCTGTGGACACCCTCCCGCCGCAGCTCACCAACACACATCTGAAGTGGATTCGCCAAGCCCATTCGGAGTGGCCGGCCCTACGCCTAAGGCCAGCCAAGTGGCCACGGCTGATAAGCCCCCCCCCTCCCCCTACTAGGTGGAAATCGGTTTGGGGGAATGGGGACCTAACCTAACCTAAGTTTAAATTTTATCATAAACCTAAACAAATTCAGGTGTTTGTTCAAAGAAAACAGGAATTTTTCAGGTTAATGATAAGATTGTCTTCTTTCAGTTCTTGATCAAAAGCGTCTGGTTTTGATCAAAAACCTGATTTTACCATAAACCTGCGACAAATACATTATTCTTGTTCTTATCATCAGTCCTCAAAAGTCCACTGGAAATCAGTTATGCTTGATGATCACATTACAAGACGATAGTCTTTGTCTCTGTAACTAGTCGCCATTGTCGGTCTGTCTAATATAAACTAAACGGCTATGCCACCATATTTCGAAAGCCTTTTCGGACGTTTTCCATATTCATCTCTTACGACACCCACGGGACGAAATTGGGTGATAAATGGATTTCACGTCGCCACTACACGGTTTCTTAAATATGTTGAAATTTTTTTTCTTAATATTTCTAATTCTAATGGCTTATTTCAAGACACGAACAAAACATCAAGTGCCTGTTATTATCAATATTTTTTATTAGTAACTGATTGTTACTTAATAATTTATGGTAAAATGATTTTTGGTTACTTTTCGCTTAGAGTATATACATAATATTATGTATGTGTTAGTAATTTTATGGAAGCAAACTTTATTTTTAGTATATATTGTGTTTTAGTCTAATCACGCTGGCAACACTGTTGAAATAAATGTCAATAAAGCTTGAAGCTAAACCATAGATAACACCTATATCTAAACAACCAAACGTAAATCGAAAACGCGATGCTTTATTATTTAATAATATAATATAACCAATTGTTTTATTATTTTAACCATAAGTAAACCACGATTAGGATATTTATTGTAACTTTTTATTATTTTATTTAAACTATTATAACTTTTTATTCAAGAAATGGATGATTTAGAAAAATTAAGCTGTAGTGAGTACGGTGAATTTGTTGGTGCTGTTCCCGTTACTAAATAAGCATTTCATAAGTTCTATTATGTTTTTAGAAGAAGAATTATTGGATATAAGTGATATGGAAAACTCGGCTAACGATGACCACAGGGAATCCGAGGGCAAAACAAAGAAAAAAAAACGAAGACGACGAGAAATAGATATGGTATGTTGGATGTAGCTTATTATTATATATATTAGCTATTTTACATTTATTCAATACTGAAAAAGTAATATTTGTAAAACATATTAGGAGAACTTACATCCCGTCCTGTCATATCATCCCGTGAGACATTCTATCTTAGTCCTCAGAGGTGACAACGCATCTGCAGCCTATTTTGTTAGAAGTTGGCTGCAGTAGCCACTTAACACTCTACCACTAGTGGTGAGTGGTGGACTAGTAATTCGTTTGTCACTTCAATTTTATGAAAAAAAGAAAAAATTGACTATAAGCTATGTAAATTAAAGTACTAAGTTACTAAGGAATATAGCTGGACATTGACCATCATCTATTCATAAGCCAAGTTCCTCATTTGAATGTCGCCATTTAGCATTAAATAGACAAAACTAAACATTAAACATGTTTAGAAAAACATCAGTTGGCCATACAAAACCTTCAACCAATTTGAATGTTAAAATTTTTATAAAGGAGGTTAGTATAATCATATAATATTTTGCTGTTTAAACACATCATTTTTGAAATATTAATTTTGAAAATAATTGTGTAATATCAACATTTTTAACTTTGATTTGAGCAATGAATGTTTTATGCTCTTTTTCAGTTGTTTATAATAATTGTAAAAAAACAAATTTATGCTAACATGTTTCAATATCATTTTCATTACATCTCTACACAAGTCTACTGCTGAACATGGGCCTCCCCCAAGGAATGCTACAAAGCACGGTCCCGAGTCACCTGCATCCATCAATTTTCTGCCTGTCTTACCAGTTTGTCACTCCATCTGGTGGGGGGCCGCTTTATACTTTGTCTATTGGTACGTGACTGCCACTCGAGAACCTTTCTTCCCCATTGGTTGTCGGTTCTTCGAGCGATACGTCTGGCCCATTGCCATTTCAGCTTACCAATCCCTTGGGTTATGTTGGTTACTCTGGTTCTACTACATGGTCACACATTTAAATTTGTATAATTATAAAAAATATATTATCATTATTCATGTCTGAATTTTCCATTTCATTTTCTTTTCCATTTTGTTCTCCAACAAGTACAAAATATGAATCACAGTAATGCACACACAAACACACACAGAATGTGTTATACAAAAGAATGTTAACACAAAATACATGTGTGGGATCTAAGAACTCTTTCCCATTGCAATTTTCACCAGCATGTCATGCTCATTGTGACAACTGTATCTAAGTGGGCCCTTGTTACTAACTGTAATCCACATCATCATCATCTAACCTTCAGACAAGTCTTGGAAAACCAGTATCATCATGGTGAGAGTTGTACACCAATCCACCTGCCTTGTATTCTGTGGGCAAATGTTTTATATCATATGCGAGGTTTCTCATTCTTATATAAGCTAATAAACCCTAGATATCTTTTGAAATTCACATAACTAAAACTTTTTCATAAAAAAAATAAACTGAGCATCTTCGGATATCATTAAAAAATGTTATACAATTTTTTTTAGATAAAGCTATCCGATGATGATGAAACAGATGATGAAATGCATACAAAGAAGAATATAAGACGATTAAGCCCCATCCCCAATTCACCTGCATCACATAGGGAACCTCGGACTTGTGTGTTGAAGGTAATTTATTTTATTTTAATATCTGTGATAAAAGCACAGAGTAGCTTCTTATTCTAAGTGGCTCATGTGACTTACATGAACAATCTAGATCTGTGTGTGCATGTTTTTCTCCTTGAGTACAAACATTAAATACCTTATTAGAAATTGCCTTAGCTAAAATAGTATATTATTACTAAGTTATCTACAAAATTATATAATATGGTTGTAATATTTGTAATCTGTCATTGTTGTTGGGAACTCAAATTCATAGGCAGAAAAAGAGCCGTCCTAATTGGTCTTGGTTGTGTTTATATAATACTAGCTGTGCCCCGCGGTTTCACCCGCGTTTTTCTCGTTTCCGTGGAAATACCGAGATAAAATATTGCCTATATTATAGCCTCCCTCAATAAATGGACTATTGAATATTTAAACAGTTTTCATATCAGATCAGTATTTCCCGAGATTACCGCGTTCATAACAAACAACCAACCTTTTCAGCTTTATAATATTAAGAAAAATATAGATTAAGTTAAATTGTATAAGTAGCAGGCAATAGCTGTCTGTCTGTTCGACATTCAGCCAGACACATAAGAATTACGACTACAGGCGGGAGTGTCCGTCCACTTTAAACCGGGTTAAAATATTATTTTAAAGTACTTCTGAGTAAATTATATTTTTCGTTTTATTTTCTTGTGGCAGAAGAATATATTGATTGTTTCCGCAACCTGATCTTGACAACGCGACATATAGTTGGCCGTGCGAAAAACAGTCTTGCCGTAAATCTAATCCTACATATTTAAATGTTTGCCCCTGTGATTTATTTATCGTTACGGCAAAAGATAATTTAATTGGGAATTGGACTCTTTTAAAATGAAAAGGCAAATCATTTGGAATCATTGGGATCCGAGGTATAAGTACTGTTTGACCAACCGCTGGACCAGTCAAAACTGTTGCAACGATCACGTTATTGCGAAGAAATTTAACCTGAAGTCGAGTCCCGTTACATAAATTTGGTGGCTTAAGATTTCTAAGTAAAATAATTGGGGCACCAATTTTTAACTTGAGAGAATGTGGGGGGAGGCCACTCGGGTTTAAAGAATTAAGAAATTCCTGTGGATAATGGACTGCATCTTCTTGATCCATTACATTATCAATAGAAGTGTAGGTGACTATATCCCCTGGAAGTTTAGTTAAAATTAAATCGTTAATTTCGTCAACACTACTGTTTCTCGCCGCCAATATTGCTCGTTGACACATCCATTGATAATCTTTATTTTCTATTTCGACGATATCTGGGTAAACTTTTGATATTAAACTCTCAATGCTAGTCACTTTTTCTCCTAAATCTCGATCAATAGGTATTTTATTTTCAAAATGAGGTACTTTTCCGTCTCCAATTAAAAGTAACTTCAAAGGAAAATTTGTACTACCTCCCCCCAAATGTGCTCTCATGTTCGTAGATAGATTTAAGGTATGAACAAATTTCCATAATGGAGAACTTTTGAGGCAAGATTTTACAATGTCTGCTCTAGTTCCTCTTACTACTACTGGTAAAGTTTGCCGAAAATCCCCAGCAAACATGACAGTAATCCCACCCATGATTTTATCACAGCTTCTAATATCTCTAAGAGTCCTATCTAGAGCCTCTACGTGAGCTCTATGAATCATGGTACATTCATCCCAGATTATTAAAGAGACGTCTTGCAAAACTTTTCCTAAAGGGCCATTTTTACGAATAGAGCACACGCTATCTTTCTGTAACGAAACGGTTAGGGGCAGTTTAAAAGTGGAATGAGCTGTGCGTCCACCAGCTAATAAAGTTGCAGCGATTCCTGATGACGCTACTGCCAAAGCTAGTTTTCCCTGAGACCTTACTTTTGCTAATATCAAATTAGTAATGAAAGTTTTGCCGGTTCCGCCTGGAGCATCCAAAAAAAATATTTTTCCCTCATTGAAACGAACACTGTGCATAACACTATTGTATGCCATCACCTGGTCATTAACTAACTTGGGTTCATTTACAGTAATATACTCATTTAATTCATTTACATCGTATGGCTTCCGCAATGCTATTTCTAAAGGATCCAAATTATGGTGTGTGTTATTCCTTTTTGTTGAAGGAAGCCCAAAATCAGTTAATGATTTATCACAAATCTCATGAATCTTATCTTCAATTATGATAAGTCCATCATTGTATATGTCATCACTATATGCTAATGTCATATCCTGGGTCTCATTACGCATTCTGTATAATATATCTTGACACAAATCTTCCCGAAATTTGTTCCATAGCTGCAAGGGATCAGATGGTTGGCAAAATATGAGGATTATGGTAAATAATTCTCTTAATTTTGGAGCCGGCTCGGACATGACAGCATCTGACATAGTATTTTGCCAATGTTCATCTCCCTCCAGTAAACCTAATTTCTTGCAAGCTCCTTGATAAGTATTGAAAATAACACCATTTACTGTCCTTAGATGTTCAAATGACATTGGACCGCGAACATGATGCAGTAACATTCTTAAATAGTAACATTCAGTTTGTGTCGGATGAATGTTGTAGACACGACCTAAAGTTGAGTCTTTTTTTATACCGGGATATCCTTCAACATCTTGTCCACGTCTTCTTCTAGAAAATGAATTTCTTTCCCATACGTAATACTGGGGTACTTCGTGATATAAAAGGGTTTTGGCAAAATCGTCTCTTTTGCAAAGATCAAAGAACGCTGTAAGTGTCGTTGATGAAGGATTGTTGACGCGATCTTGAAGATTTTCATTATTATAAAAATAAACTCTTTGTCCATTTTCTAAATGAACTGCTAAATGAACTATTGCCGGAAAACGTTCATGAATCGGAAATTGGAAAATTCTCCAGAGTGCTTCCGAGGAACTTATATAGCGACCATTTAAATATTTTTCTACTTCATCGTTATTATTTTGTAACGAAAATGTGGCTTGATCAGAACCTTTATGGATATATTTACAGATGTACTTAATGGCTTTGACCGATTGGCAAAACTCTACGTTAATGTGTGCATTGAAACTTCGTGATAGCACAGGGTTATAGGGAACAACCCACCTATTATCCACTCTCATTTCTGTACCTTTGACACGAATTATTGCGGTGTTTCCACCATTATCTGGTGAACGGCGCTTGTAGGTTGGGTAACCGTCATCCCCGGTTTGTGTTTCAGAAATAAACTGCCTGGGGTATTTTTTAGAGCAAACGTTTTCTTTCATACATGGTGACGCAGGATTGTAAAATCCGCAAGGCCCATGTATCATATTTTTTATGACAATGTTATAAAGCATTGGGTCTTGTTGTTTGTCAGGTATTTCAGCCGATATTATTGCATCTATGGAATCCGGTTGCACTTTGTTAGCCAGCCACAACAAAATGTGAGCGTGAGGTAAACCTCTTTTTTGCCATTCTACACTATAAACGAAGGCTTTCGATGGTCCAAATATATTTTTCTTCGTTAATAGGTCTATCATTTTTTTTAGTTTTAAATGAAATACTCTAGAAATCAAATCATGTCTGTCGTAAGAATTTTGATCGGGTAGTAACTCAATTTTTATTTCTGGCCATTCGGAGTTACATGTGAATGTTATAAAGAGATCTGGTCTTCCAAATTTCCTAACATAGATCATGGCATCTTGACTTTTTTCATTCATGTATCTAGGAGATCCTGTAAATGACGATGGCAATATAACGTGCTGGCCAACATTAGAAGCGTCTACATTGCCATCATTAACCACGGCATCTCTTAAATGAATGTACTCTTCTGCTCTTAATTTTTTTTGATTTCGTTTTATGAAGTCAAGCCTCTCAGAAATCATTTTTGCCGCCATATCAACACAGTATTGATTAAATAATCCTTTGAAATAATGTATGCTGTTAAAGTCATTTATTCTCACCATGAGTCTAAATGCATAAAACTGCATACATGATATAGTTTTAGATCTAGCAGCAGTATTTTGCTGTGGAATATTTATACAATATCCGTCATTTCCAAAGGGAAACAGTAAAGGATATTGAAGTGGGTCATAAGATCTATGTATTTCAGAAACTCGCTGAAGGCGCCCGTCTCTGGTATTTAACACTATATCTCGGGGACCTTTGTCTTCATCTATTAAAAGAACAGCTACTTCATCTACCATGGGCGCATTATATCGACCTCGATGTTCATTAGGAGGTTTCACATCAGCATGAATGATAAGTTTAAAATCATTCGTTGGTCTGTTTTCGAGATTATATTTAAAACTTTGAATATAAGTATTGTGATCGTGAAGACATGTTTGGAGAGCGTCGATAAGATCGGTTTTTAACGTTGGGTTTAAATTTGAGCGTAAAGATACCTGATCTGTATGGGAAATAAAATATATTTGCAAAAATTCGGGTTGTGCGCCTTCAGGTGGAAGTAAATTACCGATTAGATGATAAACTTGCCCCTGGACTTTAAAAGTGGGCATAAATTTTCCTTCACGAATTTCTTTGGCACCAAATGAAGTCATCTGAAACAGAGTATTATATTGTCTAGAGTGATTTAAGAAATGCTTAGAAGATGGGTGTGAGCCTGATATTAGATCTTTAAGAATTGACGTTGGTGCTGGAATTTTAGGAATATTTACTTTGCCACCACTACAACACAGTCCAGGAGCTTCAGCCGGCCATTTTTTTGCTTGACATGAATTACATATTTTATTCATTCTGCAAATATTAGTACCATTTAGCTCAGGCATAGTCAAGGGTATAATCATAAGCAAATGCTGAATTCAATAAATTATATTGCCTGCGAGTTCTGTTCCCTGCTGTTCGTGCATTTTGCTGTGCTAATCGATGGGAACGTTCAGCACTTGATTCCCGTTCCCGGTTTGCCGAAGTGCGTGAATTCTGTGTAGCTAAACGTTGAGAACGTTCAGCGCTTGATTCCCGTTGCCGGTTTGCCAAAGTGCGGGAATTCTGTTTAGCTAAACGTTGAGAACGTTCAGCGCTTGATTCCCGCTCGCGATTTGCCGAA